AATTAAATGTGCTCATTAAAATGAATGTCTGAATATAGTAGGTAAATTTAGAGGCAGTTTAGAAAAAAATGCTTTCTACTGTTTACACAGAAATTAAACATGAAAAATTTCACCCCCATTGGTTAATGTTTTTGAAAGGTACAAACACTAAAATGGATTTATAATGGCAATTGTGTTGCAACTTAGTGGTTGCTACTGACTATTGCTACTGTGATGGCCCAAGGCTTCACACCTTCCAATAATCAGTTTCCTTCTTTGTCCTCTCAGTAAAAGGAAAATCTGTGATCCTAGTGATTTAGAGGAAAGACTTGAGAGGTAGAGAAGATTTTTCATATTCTCAGTAGTAAATCAATACAGACCCATACAAATGTAAGTCTATTGTTATTTTCCTTTCTTTCTTTAGGACCAGTTGGAATCTGTTTTGGAGGTTTTGCATAGACAGATGGAACTGTACAAAGACCAACCACAGCATACAGAAAAAATTTCTTCCCAGCAGAGACTTTTGCAAGAGGACCTCATTCATATTCGGGCTGAAATATCCAAGGCATCCACTGTATGTGTTCAGTGCTTCCAAAGAAATGCTAAGCTAAGCGCTAGACTAAAATGAATTACTTTTCAGACATAGGGTTAAATCCTACAAACCAATTTAGATAATGTACAGAATATGAAAACAAATCATGCAGATCTGTCTTTTTAATGGCAGTCTTAATTGCAAACCTTTGTTCCAGTTTCCACTGGTATCCTGGTATAAACTAGATTAGTGGTTTTCAAACTCTTTCTGGGGACCTAATTGAAGAAAATTGTTGATGCCTGCAACCCAACGGAGCTGGTGATGAGAGGCTCAGGGCTGGGGCAGGGGGTTGAGGTGTGGGGGTGAGGGCTGTGGGCCGGGGCCAGGAATGAGGGGTTCAGGGTGTGGGAGGAGGCTCTGGGCTGGGGCAGGGGGTTGGGGTGTAGGAGGGGGTCAGGGCTCTGGGGTGGGACCGGGGATGAGGGGTTTGGGGTGCAGGAAGGGGTTCCAGGTTTGGGGGGGGCTCAGGGCTGGGGCAGGGGATTGGGGTGTGGGGTTGGAGCTTGGATTTATGAGTTTTTTCCTGTCCTGGCACCGCGGACTGCACTGTACCCTGAAAGCAGCCAGCAACAGGTCTGGCTCCTAGGTGGTGGTGCGCAAGTGGCTTCGCTCTACTCTCACCCTCAGGCACCGCATCCCCTTCCTCCCTCCCCCCCCAGTTCCCATTGCCTGGTTCCTGGCCAATGGGAGTGCGGAGCTGGTGCTCGGGGCGGAGTCACTTCTGGGGTGCAGGGCGGTGTCGAAACAGGTAGGCACTATCCTGCCTTAGCTGGGCAGCACTACTGACGGGACTTCTAACGTTCCAGTCAGCGGTGCTGACCAGAGCAACCCAGTGCCTGACATGTTGCAACCCAGTACTGGGTTGCAACCTGAAGTTTGAAAAATGCTGAACTAGATTCCCTGGAACTTTTCTAGGTGGAAAAAGGAATTGGGTCTTACCCTGGAGTATTAGCCAGAATTTTCTCTCTCTCAATTACCACAACCTAATAAGAATAAACTTTAATAAAGGCACCACATCAAATTAATGTTATGTTTCATTAATAGGCCACACAAGAAAGGAAATTTTAAACCCACCTAGCACTCTGTACTCAGCCACATAATCCCTAACTCCTACAGTACATGAGGATAGTTTTTAGAAAACTGCCTCTAAAATTGTACTCACAAGTCTTGTGTGTACTAAGTCAGGTAAATTAAAATGTCTACATCATATACATGCACGTATGCAGTGATTTGTGTCCGCAGACAATGCACTGTTTTACGGGCTGTGTTGAAAATTTACATAGAGGTGCGTAAAATCAAATAATCTTCCACTATTTTGAGTCAGAAAGCAGAATGTACAGCTGCAGATGTTAGCCATAATGTAAATGACTTAAGGATTCTCTGGTGGCCCCGACTCAGGGGTGAATTTGTACCAACATTTTAGAACTCTCTTAAAATAGTATGTTCAGTTTTACACATTACAGAAGTAAAGTGAACAGGGTATTGAAATTAAGCTGTCTTCCTTCAAGAATTCATTTCAGTGCCTAGATTCCTTTGAACTCCTGCTTTGTCCTTAAATAACTAATAGAGCATTCTGTGTTTGCAGATTATCAAAAAATTTCTAACTAAAGATCCTGCAAGGTGTGGAGCACTCGGGCCACAACCCAGTAAAGCATTTAAGCTCATGCTTCATTTTAAGCTCATATCATTACATTCTGTTCAGAACACATCATTTTTCTTTTTTCAATCGAACAACCTAATCCTTAAAGTTAAGAACATGCTTATTTGTTTAACCGGCTGAAAGTGCTGTGCACCTTTTATTGCTTATTGTAGGGTTGCATTGAAAATTTTCTCTTTGCCAACAGGAAATGGAAAATGCTTGGAATGAATATCTGAAATTGGAAAAGGATGTGAACCAGCTGAAGCAAGCCTTACAGGAACAGATGAACAGATCATTTTTTCCTCAGGTGAGTCTGTTTTCAGGTACTAAATTACTGTTGTTGAGATCTTGCCTGAACTCTAAAATGATTAACTCCTGGGAGGAAGTATCTCAAATGTGTGGGGAATACTGGAGGGTTCCCTGCCTGCTGTTCCTGCTGGACGTATCCAAAGTCAGCAAACTATACTTCAAGGTACCTAGCTAGCTTGAATGAAACATGTATTTAAGAATCTCATATTAGCTTTATTATTAAATACAGAAACAATCATTTGCTTTTGTCCTTTTGTTTTAAAATTAATTTTGATACAGGAAATTTAAACATGCCGTATAAATATAGTCCTGAGCAGGGAGACGTCCTTGAAAGAAGGGTCTAATAGAGAAGCACTAGACATAGGTTGACATTTGTAACAGGAAAACAATTAGAAATTCTGCAGAAGTATCTTCTTGGAGAATTAACCGTTGGTTAAAACCTAGAGTATGAGATTCTGCTAACAGTGATATTGGAGAGTAAAGAGAACTAAACAGAAAAATTCTATTTCCTAAAATGTCAACATCTATAATTTAGAAGTGTGTGTGGGGGGGGGGAGGGCGGAAATTAGAAGCATTACCTGGCAAAGGATATGGGGAAATCCACTGGCAGGACATTAGTACTAATGCAAACTCTTTGAGAACATACATGGGGGGGGGGCGGGCAACCATTAAAAAGTCACCATTTACTAACACCATAGTGTGGTATTTAAAATATTGGAAGTAGCTCCAATCATACTGTTCATGCATGGCTATCCTAATGAATGTCCCGTGATTCAGGTATTGTATTTACAGTTGCAGATGTTTGAAACTTCTTCTAACATTGTTAGAATAACAATGTTATTCCTGAACTTAGGATAAACATCTAGGAAGATACTCATTTTCTATATGTTTAATTCCTAAATGCTGCCGACTCCTGGCATTCTTAACCCTAAAGTATCTACTAATGCCTGTTTGTATCCTACATTCTTTTGGCTCGTAAAGTGGAAAAATGGTGGTAACATAGCAATGAGATGTCTAGGTTTATTTCCAGTGCTGCAAATGTTTTTCATAACGTTATGTCTGTGCAAATTTGTCAGTATTTTATTAGATACTGTCATTTTTGACATTAATAACTTTTTAATTTATAAGTCTGTGCAGGACTTTCTAGTTTTCCATTTATTTGATCTGTCTTTGTTGATTCATCTGTCCATTTTTAAGGTCATCAGTCACTGATGTGCTATTTTCCTTACTTGTTCTCTGTCATGTTGGGATATTAGTGGATGGTTATCTCTGCAGATCCCTTGTAAATTGAAACAACTGTTTAGAACTTATCGGTGTTTGAAAGATATCTGGATTTTAAACCAATTATTTAATTATGAATCATGCAGAGAAGCGCTATTTTCATCTGTCATCTTATTTGCAAAAACAACAACAATGTGATTATTCATTCAAATCCCTGGCTATTTATCTGGATATTTCCTACCAAAAGAAAACAGCAGTTATATTTTAAAATTCTTATCTGATTACACTGTTCTTCTGACCCATTATCAATTAGTGCATTTGTTTTGATCATTATCAACTAAACCTCTTCTATCAAGTTATGGGTTTGAGAAGGTTTTTATATTGTATCATCTGTCTTAAATTCCATTCCCTTGCTTCTAAAGAAGTCATCTCTCAAACTTGATGCCTGGGCAGCTTTGAGTGCCCAGAATATTATTAAACTGAAGCCAACTGTAAAACATACCATACCAAAGAAACTTCATTAACTTAGAGTTAAAGTTGCCCAAATTCATGTCCTGTCAACTCAAAAAACAAAAAACAAAAACAAAAACAAACACCACACCAAGGAAATTAATTCTGGTCATATGTCCATACAGAATACACTTCACCAAAGGTAGTTGGTTATACACTCTCCCTGTGCCCTCCTTCCATATCCTAATCCTGTTCCCAATAGTTGGAAAGGACGGGGAGAATTCCATCCAAATTGTTTGAGTTGCTAGTAGTTTGACTATGAAGTCAGCATTTTCCCCGGGGGAGCCTCCACTGACTCACCAGAGGGACCCTTGATCTGATACCTTAGCATGAATCCTGACTTGGAAGATTAAGATGCCCTGTGAGGCAGGGAGGACATGGATAGAGAGTGGCATTGACATTAACATGGGAAGTGGGTGAAGCAGGGTTTCCTAGTGGCTAGTTCAGTTGTCTAACCTAATTCCCAAGCTGGTTTCCTGATCCCTCCCATTGCGTGTTTTTTTCTTTATCTTTTACTAACATGAAGTTCTTCCTGCCTTAACTCGAGCTCTTTCAGTCTCAGCTCCCTGTCATATTCCAGTCGCATCCGCTCCCAGGACGGGGAGCTCCCCTGGGACGATCCCCTGTTGGCCGCTGGGGTCAGGGTGCCCTCGGTATTCACTGGGCTTCTTCCAACCCCTCCCCGAGGCATAGGTAGGCAGGGTCTCAGGATGTCCTCGGCAGCAGTCTGACCCCTCCGAGCCATGTCAGGCCCCGGGGCCCACGCTGCATCCGCCGGGCGGCTTCTCTCTGGGACAGGGCTCGGTTCATCCAAGCGATGACTCTCCTCCAGCTGGGCAATTAGCTGTTCTTCGGTGAACCTCCCAATGCGCAGCCCCCTCTGCCTGCACAGCTCCACCAGGTCTCTCTTAAGGCGTTCAGCATACATCCTCCTGCTGGCCACTCGCCGGCCTGTGCTCTCCGCTTTCCACCGTTCCAGGGAGACTCCTAGTGTGCCAGCCCTTCTTCAGGTCACCACCTCTCTGCCAGGGTCGAGCTGAAGACTCCTCCGCCCCGTGACCGCTCGCTGCGATCCCCCGGGGGACCCTGTTACTGCAACAGTCCTTCTCTCTGGTCACACTCTCCCAGGTGTTTATCGCCCCCTGAACCGACTCTCTCTAACTCTTCAGCCCACCTGGTCCCCGTCGATCCCCCTTCGTTTTACTGCTTCCCAGTCACTTACT